CCACAGGGTCTCCAAGGCTGTCAATCTTCACAGAAGCAAAGCCCAAACCACACCCACTGCCGTGGAGTCCATTCCAACCCACAGCGCCCCTAGAGGATAGAGTGGAACTGCCCACAGGGTCTCCAAGGCTGTCATCTTTATGGCAGCTGACTGACTCATCCTTCTCCCACAGAGCAACTGGTGGGTTCGAACTGCCAACCTTTCAGTTAGCGGCCAAAATCTTAACCACTGTGCCACCAGGGCTCTTTGACACACAGTAGGAGCTTAATAAGTACCTGTTGAGTGAATGAAAGGATGGCCTCCCTGCTGTGTCTCCTCCTTCCCAAGGTGGACAGAGTCTTCTCAAAATGTGGATTTGCTCATTTCCTGGGTCCATGGCCAGCTGTTTGCTGGGCTCTGCCTGTTATTTGACTTTCAAGTTGTGCCTGTCACTCTCGCTTTTCACACTCAGGCCACCTGGACTCAATTCCTAGAGATGCTGTTGTTCCTTCCCCAGGACCTCTAAAGGTGCTCTCTGTCCCCCAAGATCCTTCTTTCCCCACCCTTAAAGGTTTTACCAAAGTAGCCTTAAAAACAGCTCATAGTTTGGTGGAGCAAGAGATGGCCAAGCAGCTTAGCAACACACAGAAGCAGCAGGCCGACCGCTGTGTCTCCTCTGCACCTCACTTTCGGTGCTTCGGTGTCTCATAATCACAGCCATTTTGCTCAAACACACAGCTGTGTGCACTCACCATCCCTCCACCTGTCTCGAGGACGCATTTACTGGGACTCAGCCCTCGAAGTCGAACTGGAAGCTGGCTGCCTGGCCACAGGTGGAGGGTCCACTTTCAACATCCAAGCTGTCCTGATTCCCTAAGTAAGGCCAGGCACCGGGCCGAGGGCTGCAGACACAAAGCTTATTAGCAAGTGGCCCTGCCTTTTCGGACTCCAGGTTGGACAAAAGGAGAATTATGCAAATAACCCATTCCCTCTTTGTCCCTGCTCCCTTTCTGCTCCTCAGTCCTACAAAAATCAACACGGAGTGGTTTTCTTTGTTTCTGTTTTCTGGCTTTCTTGGATGTGGGTCATAGGATTTTAAATTTCCGTTAACTTCTCCATTTGAGTCAACGGAGATTATGTGCTGTTAGGAATAAGCTGGAACTTCAAATTGACAGATAGTGGGGATCTAGAAACAGTAATGGCCTTATTCTTGAATAATCAAATTTAAATGATGCATTTATTCCTTTCAAGTCATAGCGACAGGAACCACTAACTGACAGTGGGGACGGTATTAATATTTGCCCATTAAAGTAAAATATTATTACAAGGACATTCTTCATGTCATGTGTGTGCCGTTCATCTCCTTGGTGAATTGAACCTCACAATGGGGCTGTTTTATTGGCTGCAGCAAATAAACAGCCTAATGGATCCACCTCCTCCTGGCCATCGCCTTAATGGTTGGCACATCCCTTCCCAGCCTGATCCGAACTGTCGGCCCCCATACACTCAGCCCCTATAGGGGGGGTGGGAGGAGCTGTGCTGGGAGCTTCATCTTGCGGGGAAGACAGGCATATTTGAACAAAGATGGATAAGGACACAGTACACCAGGTGCCAAACGGATGACACTGAGAAGAAGTGCGAGAGGGGAAGTCACTGAGAGGAACTAGGCTGAGCTGGCCTGGAAGTGGGGGCAGTCAAAGCAGAGAGGAGGCTGCAATGGTCCTGGTTGGAGCTGGGCCTCTACGGTCCCTGTTGTTGTTGTTGTTGTTAGGTGCTGTCGAGTTGCTTCCGACTCACAGCGACCCCACGCACAGCAGAACGCAACACCACCGGATCCCGCGCCAGCTCCATGAGCCCTGCTATACTTGAGCCCATTGTCGCAGCCTCCGTGTCAATCCATCTCGTCGAAGGCCTTCCCCTCTTTCGTCGACCCTCCACCTTGCCAAGCATGACATCCTTCTCCAGAGAATGGTCCCCTCTGACAACATGACCACAGTAGGTGAGACGAAGTCTGGCCATTCTCGCTTCCAAGGAGCATTCTGGCTGCACTTCCTCCAGGACAGACCTGTTAGTTCTTTTGGCAGTCCATGGGACCTTCAGCATTCTCCGCCAGCACCACAACTCAAAAGCATCAACTCTTCTTTGGTCTTCCTTATTCTTTGTCCAGCTCTCACATGCATATGAGGCGATTGGAAATATCATGGCCTGTGTCAGGTGCACCTTAGTCCTCAAGGAGACATCTTTGCTCCTCAGCACTTGAAAGAGTTCCTTCGCAGCCGACCTGCCCAGTGCTGCAAGTTGTCTAATGTCCTGACTGCTGCTTCCATTGGCATTGATTATAGAACCAAGCAACGTGAATTCTTTGACAACCTCAATCTTTTCTCCATTTATCGTGATGCTGCTTATTGGTCCAGGTGTGAGGATTTTTGTCTTCTTTACATTGAGATGTCATCCATACTGCAGACTGTGTTCCTCAATCTTCATCAGTAGGTGCCTCAAGCCATCCTCACTTTCAGCAAGCAAAGTTGTATCATCAACGTATCTCAGATTGTTAATGATTCTTCCTCCAATCCTGATAACCACGTTTTTCTTCATATAGTTCAGCTTCTTGGATTATATTTGCTCAGCATATAGATTGAAAAGTGTGGGGAAAGGATACAACCCTGATGCACATCCTTCTTGATTTTAACTATGTTGTATCCCCTTGTTCCATTTGAATGACAGCCTCCTGGTCAAGGTACAGGTTCCTCATGAGTACAATCAAGTGTTCTGGAATTCCCATTCTTCTCAATGTTATCCATAATGTGTCATGATCCACACAATCAAATGCCTTTGCATAGTCAATAAAACACAACTAAACATCTTTCTGGTATTCTTTGCCTTGAGCCAAGGGCCATCTGACAGCAGCTATGATATCCCTCATCCCACGTCCTATTCTGAATCCGGCTTGCACCTCTGGAACTTCTCTGTCAATATGCTGCTGCAACTGTTTTTGAATTATTTTCAGTAAGATCTTACTTGTGTGCGATATTAATGATATTATTCTATAATTTCCACATTCTGTGGGATCACCTTTCTTTGAAATGGGTACAAATATGGATCTCTTCCAGTCAGTTGGCCAGGTAGCTGTCTTCCAAATCTCTTGGCATAACCAAGTGAGTGCCTCCAATGGGGCATCTGTTTGTTGAACTATCTCAATGGGTATTCCATCAATTACCGGAGCCTTGTTCTTTGCCAATTCCTTCATTGCAGCTTTGACTTCCTCCTTCAGTACCATTAGTTCTAGATCATATGCCACCTCCTGAAATGGATGAAGATCGACCAGTTCTTTTTGGTACAGTGACTCTGTGTGTTCCTTCCATCTTCTTTTGATGTTCCCTGCATCATTCAATGTTTTGCCCTTAGAATCTTTCAATATTGCAACTCGAGGCTTAAATTTTTTCCTCAATTCTTTCAGCTTGAGAAATGCTGAGTGTGTTCTTCCCTTTTGTTTTTCTAACTCCAGGTCTTTGCACATTTCATTATAGTAATTGGTTTTGTCTGCTCGAGCTGCTCTTTGAAATCTTCAGTTCAATTCTTTTATCTTGTCATTTCTTCCATTTTCTTTAGTTACTCTAAGCTCAAGGGAAAGTTTCAGAGTCTCTTCTGTCATCCATTTTGGTCTTCTCTTCTTTTGTTGTCTTTTTAGTCATCTCTTGCTTTCTTCATGGATGATGCTCTTGATGTCATTCCACAATTCATCTGTTTTCCGGTCATTGGTGTTCAACGCATCAAATCTATTCTTTAGATGATCTCTAAATTCAGGAGGGATATATTCTAGATCATATTTTGGCTCTTGTGGACTTGTTTTAATTGTCTTGAACTTCAAGTTGAACTTGCATATGAGCAGTT